AATCAAGAGCATTTGCTGAACTCACTGAGTACATAGCAAATACAGTGGAGAATGAGACACATTTCCTTATACTTACCGAACTTCATAAGTAGTATTTGTTACATACAAAGGCACACACTTTGCAGTCCCACTAACGTCAGCCTTCCAAGTTCGTTGGGTGCCACAATCTACAACTTGCTGTTTCTCGCCCGCTTTTTTTAACTTGGACGTAAGGTGACAGGATTGATGCCACTTTGCATTTGTTTACTACTGAAGTGATTTCAGTATCAAACTTAATGGCAACAAAAACACAGTCCTCTTTCTTGAATTCTAGTAAATTGTCAAGGAGCGTTCTATAGATAATCACCGTTAAACCAATGGGTGTCTCGGACCCTCTCTTTTCGATTCTCACCCTTGGTAAATATGACAACGATCCCGACTAATTTCCATCTTGGTGTGTAGAAACGAGCTGGAACTCAATCACGATAAGACTGAAATCGTGCTTATCTTGTCAATGAACTGCACTCGTCCACCTTTTAGCGACTATAATATGAGTAATGCAAGGCTAACAAAGTCTGGGAGTAGTATTTGATGAAACGTGCTGTTTGACGCACACGTCTCAACATTCGCAAATTATCGTTTTAACAGCTCTGGAACTTATCAAAGATAAGAAAGTGTCTCACACAGGAGTCTAGCGAAATTGCTGTGCATGTTTTTGTTACATCTAAAATAGACTATTGCAATTCCTTGCTCTGCGGTTGTAGGAAAATGCACTTGAAGGGACTTTTAACAATATGTTCAGAACACTGCCCCCAGAATCATTACTCAGACTCGTAAGCTTTGTGAAAGCATTATTTATTTGACCTTCACTGGCTTCCTGTTAGCTATCATGTTGTTTTTAAATTTCTTTTTCATCAGTTTTCAAATCACTTAATAACCTTCCCACCTAGCTATCTATCGGACAAACTTGGTTATCAAAGGCACTCCAGGAACTTGTGGTCCGCATCTCAAAAGCGGTGAGAACAACCTCGAAAACTCACGGGGACCAGGCTTTTTCAGTGTGAACCCCTAAACTGTAGAACACACTACCATTAGCTAGATTTGTGCAAGTCACCATCTTTAGCTAGTTTAAATAAAGGACTGAGAACATATCTTTTTACGCAATTTTTCGAGAGTAAGTCAATATTTTTGTAAAAAGTCTTTAACATCTGCAGATCATATACCTATACTTATAGAATGTATATCTTCAGTTTTTTTGCATGACTTATCATCATTATATATAAATTTTAATGGCAAAATAATTTTAAAACATATGAATTTTTGTTACCTTCTTTTCTTCTTTGTGAATTGCAAATAGATTTTAATATATGTTATTTCATGCTCGAGATATAATTTTTTTCCGTCTTTTACATTGTAAAGCACCATGAGCTCAGGATATGAGCGCTATAGAAAGAAAAAGGCTAGTCATTCATAATCGGCACCGTGAAGCGAAGATGTGGCTTTCAATAACAAATTTATTACCAAGAAGAGCTTAAAACTTTACTTAAACCTGTCGTGATTCAGCTTGTACACAATTTTGCCTAAAAAAACCGGCAATTTATTCTAGCAGATATGTACAATCCATGAAAAGACACCTTCAAGCTGCCATCTTGAAAGGCCATTTGGGACTGAGTACGCGTCTGAAAACATCTTCCTTGAATTTTCCATTTAGTTGACTTGTTTTTGTCATTGGTTTCAATAATAAATTATACAATCTCTTTTTTCATTTTCATGTCTTTCGTGTGATTTTCATCAAAATAATGGCAAAAACAAGGAATTGATATTTTTTAGCACAGGGAACCTACCAGTATATCATTGTTGCTATTTCATTAAGTTGACTCGTTTTAGTCGTTGGTTTCAACAATAATAATAGTATAAATACAGTTTCTTTTTCCATCTATTTGCCTTTTTATGTTATTTTTATAAAAGAAGTGGAAAAAAACAAGGGATTGCAATTTTCAGTACAGGGAACCCATCATGGAAGGTTGTTGAAGAACTTCAGCGGGCAGTTGCTGCAAATTCTGAAGAGGTAGATGTGGGCACCGATCCTAATATTGACTAACATGCCCTAAGCTGCAGCCATGCAAAGTTTGGTGCTTTTGTCCGCTCTGTATAGATCTCGCCAAAATTTTGCACTAAGCCACCGGACGTCACTTCAAAACAATTTCAAAACTATTCTAGTTTTTTGATTTTTGTTTACCTCACCTAGTTCAACAGACAATCTCTGCATAGTGTCCACCAAAACGCGTTTGGTTTATGCACTTATCAATGAGTTGACTCTATCTTACATTCTCCAAACTTTCTTATCTGTATTAACCAATCTACCAAAATGAAATCGGATTTTCCATGACTTTCTAGGACCCTCATTTACATTCTATGACTTTCTAGGCCTGGAAAATGAAATTGTCATCAGGGGCGGACGGAGGATTTTGTGATAGAGGGGGCCTAGAGATAGAGCATTTTCACATGACGTCACGGCGGCCATATTGGTGTTCCAAATAATGAAACGGCAGCCATGTTGGTGTGGCCAGAAAATCCTCTGGGGGTGAACTCTTTTCTCATGTAAATGCTTTCTTTGTTTCAATAACTTAGCATAGATGCTGGCCATGTGAGTGAAAACGTTCTATACTGTCGCAGTATGGGCGCGATAGCGCCCATCAGGACTGTGGACGGCGCACTTTTCTAGGGAGTTTCGGGCGTATGCTCCTCAGCGAATATTTTTGAGATTGAAGTTGACGTATTAGACGCTAGTAAGTTTGAAAGAACACAAATTCATTTTTTTTACCGACGTTTTCACTGCGTCGCGTTGTCCTTGCTTTAAGGTTCCTATTTCCAGTAGGTGGTCCTTGGTCCAGACGAAACAGACCCAAATGAGTATTTCATATTTTAGAAGAAGAGTAGTGAGCTGAAATTTATCCTGTAACTAACTTGTGACAAACCGACAGCTTCTGAGCTTTGCCGAAAATCCTGTATCATAGAAAATGACCGCTCCGTTTGAAGGCACCTGGTCCGACCACTTTAGCCACTTTGTAAGCCGGCATACAAACTGTGCGCAAAAAGAAACGTTCCAGGCACCATCTGATCTAAATTCCTATATATTTTCTGAAACAGTCCCAGAAGATTCGTCGCATTCCTTCTACGTAGGTTACGAGACAGCCTGTATATTTGCGTAGGTCAAGAACGCGGGAGTGGTCTTACAAACGTCCCGGCCCCAGGATAACCCTATACACTCGATAAATCTCTATCTAGTGGATTGCGCAATTGATTTCCATAATACTTATCCGGCGAGTAGTGATTTATCTTGTTTGTTTGACCAACCGACGCCTGGAGCGAGCGTTGAAACAAAGTGTGAGGATCAGAGAGAGAAAAACTATTCCTCGCCTTACGCGCGCGTAGGATAGAGGGCTTCGTGTGAAAATCTCATTTCAGTCTACAGTTATGCTACTCTGTTTAAATCAAGGGAAGTAGTAAATTTAGGCAGACGAGAGCATTTTGAGAAACAACAGTTAAATTATTAAGTTTATTTACAAGCAAAAGCGGGTTGAAAAGTAGATTGAACAGAAACCTGGAAACATACACCTTTAAGTGAAGAAAATGACGTCGAGGCTACAAACAGATGTCCTCACAGTTCTTCCTTGTTAATCATAAAACTATCTAAAATGTTCCACGACAAGTTCATCAGGATATATCTCGACCAGACATCATAGTCACGCATATACGGCAAATTAGACGGCGACTGTCTTGCTGTTTCCAGCTTTCTTCTTGGCCTGGCTTTATCTTCCAGATCGCGTACAAGATAATAAATGTTTATTTTTTTTTTTTGGTGTTATAACTTGACTTAACCAATAGGCCAATTCCTAGATCCCAAAACTTTCACTTACAAAACTGGGCTAAGTGCAAAACTTACCTTGTAAAAATGAGTTTTATTTGCATAAGAATTAAAAAATCATTGTCAGATCAATGGCATAGCACTTAGCCTCGCTTTGAAACAGAGGCTTGAGGATACTCGGAAATGGCCTATAAAGGTGATGTTACACGGGACGATTCGTAACGACGATTTTTAGCGCAACACAGCGTTGCAATGTTAGAACAATGTTGCAAAACAATGTCGCAACAATGTTGCAACGCTGTGTTGTGCTACAAATCGTCATTGCGAATCGTCTCGTGTAACATCACCTTAACGCGGTGGTGCTGCCAATAACCTAAGCACTGTAATTTGTGGAACAGAAAGTTGTTTCAGTTATAATCAAGGCACCAACAAAAATCCCAAAACACTTTTAAATGAGATAAAATGATCTCGCCGTCTTAAGAAACATTTCCCCCTAAAATGCAAAAATAATTTTCATCGTCAGGATTAGAGTGCAGTCGCTGAAAGGAAGAAACGATTTATTCTCGCACACTTCGCAGGAACAGATCGCGCCAATCGCTTTGCGCGTTAATGCTCAATCCACACCAAAAGCTTATTCAGTTAAAAAAGATAGGTTTTTTTTAGTCAGTTTCTTTTACCGTCCTTACCGATAATGTGTTCTAGTTCACTGAATAAAACACGAAAGTCAGCACGATGTGAACATCAGCTGTTTTGAGTCACTTGTCGGAAGAATATTTTTGTTAAATAAACCGTTTTCGCAAAAACTCTTTTAAACAAGTTAAAGCTTTGGTGTGAATGGGGCATAAGTTGTTACTGAGTGTTTCAAATGTGTTTCAATTATCTCTCATTTTCGCCTCTGTCGCGGCTACATCGTACACCAAGCGAGTCTGGTTTTACACCGGCCTCTACGCACGTCACGAATACACAATAACACCAATTAGGGTCACATCTCAAGCACAAACATTTGTCCATTTATGTACATCTATAAGTCTCTATGTGATACGATTTGCAAATACGAACTTCAACTATTGAACAGTAAGCAATCTGGTCCAGCATACTCCTTTTATATCCTAGTCTTACATGAATTCTCTTAAATCTTTAAGAATATACGACTTCAGTCGTAATCGACGTACTCCCAAATGTCGGTCTCGTATCCCTCGTATACGTGGTCTAAAAGTGCTTTTCGCCTCGCTTCGCAATACCTAGGAATAATAAGAACAATTCATCAAGTTCAGCTCATAGATAGCCTTTTTGGCTCACAAAAGCCAGTTTATAAGAGCTCACCGCTGCGGTCAAAATAAAAAATGATGACTACATACAGGACGTACCGAGCGATCATTTGCCAGAAAAATACGCCATACGATATATACTCATCGGTGCAACTTTGCTAAAGGATCCTAGGAATTGGCCAATGAGGGCCACATGAACCCCATTCTGAATTTTTCAGGGCCAAGCCTTTTTAAAGAAAAGCCTTAGGGTGCACAAGATATCTGAACATTTTTGTATCGCTTGGTTTGAAATTCAGTATTTTTCTTCTTTGACCATACCGCGAGGGAAACTCGCTTCAACCCATCAAAAGCACTACCCAGGTCTGGTTACTCGCTGACACCAATATGGAATATCTCCGCTCGTTTCTCAGACGCCATTTCGCATGGAAACCAATGGTGGCGTCGCCAAATGTGGGCTGTTTCCTTAAGCTACCGACCTGGGACCCGAAATAACTGCCTCAAAAATGTTGAAAATTGAACACAAAAGAAACTGAAGTAACTACTCAGGGCACGTACCTGTATTTATCTTGAACCTTTTGTTTTATATCTGATAAACACTCAGACGTTATATCACGCTCAAGGTACTCTGACAGAGTTTCTGTAGCCATTTCGAGGTCTTTTTGGTTATCCTGTGTTGACACAATAGAGACCTTTAGCTTCTAAGACGAGGACAACTACGACAACGAGACTTTCTCAATAATTTGTGGTGCACGAGTGTGAAAAAGTGATAGCGGGAAAAAGTGATAGCCGTTGCCCAGCATTCTTCTACGGGTTTTAGCGAAAATGTCACAGTGATGGAAGTAAGAAGTTTTATCATTTTTGCAATCGGGTGAAGGCTTAACCTCGTTTAATAAAATAACCCGTGTTAACTTTTCTGGTGAAAAAACGTAAAATGAATCTTTCCAAGGTGTCCTATTTTTTTCGGAATACGCGAAATAACTGAACTTTCAGTCAAATCTAGTCCTCCTAATCGTCCTTGTTCTCAAATCTTAAAGTCTATTATGGATTTCACTCAACAAATACAACAAATTTGGAAAGAAGATCACTATTCACAAAATGTAATGAGGCAAGTGGAATATAGCGCATTAACTTAAAGGTGATGTTACACGAGACGATTCGCAACGACGATTTTTAGCGCAACACAGCGTTGGAACATTGTTGCAACATTGTTTCGAATAGTTACAACACTGTTCCAACACTGCAACGCTGTGCTGCGCTAAAAATGGTCGTTGCAAAACGTCCCGTGTAACATCACCTTAATTCTTGATGGGCGAGCTAGAATTTTAAAATTAACATCCAGGCAAACCATTTTTTGGTGGAAGGGTTTAATTGAAGGTGTGAATAATGGTGATGTTACACCAGACGATTCGCAACGACGATTTTTAGCGCAACACAGCGTTGTAACATTGTTGTGACATTGTTTCGAATGGTTACAACATTGTTCCAGCATTGCAACACTGTGTTGAGCTAAAAATCGTCGTTGCGAATTGTCCCGTGTAACATCGCGTTAAAGGTCTTGAAACTCGAGCAAGAAAAACAAGACAGGGTTCAAACAAAAATTTGCCACCATTTTTTAAGGAATTTTCATGGACATTTCAAGGACCACCTACAAGGAACGTAACTTCACAGATTACACAAAACGCACATTCCCAGTCCATTCTGACAGGACTTGAACTGTTTGTTCCACCAAGTTCTCTACATTTTTCATTTCACTTGCTCAAAACTTGATTCACTTCACTTGCCAAAAATCATTTTAAAAAAACAAAAATAAAACCTCAGTTTTCAAGGACTTTTCACAGGAATCTAAGGACTTTTTAAGGAAAAATGGAATTCAAGGACTTTTTAAGGACTTCCCCTAAAATTCAAGGACTTTTGAATTCAAGACTGTGCGAACACTGCAAGATCAGTGGAGCTCCGCTTATCATGTCAGCTGGACGATGTGAAAATGTGGGGTCTGAAATGGTTTCAGTATTACGCTATTGATAATGCAAAAATTCAACAAGAAGGATTCACCTCAAAGATGACAGATTGGTTGTTTTTCTTCAGGTAGAAAGCAAAGACGTAGGTATATTTCAGTGTGTTCCTGCATAAACACAGAACATCCACAGCCTTTCTAAGAAACTGGACCTAGAGAGAGAGCATACAATCCTCTTATCAAACTATTCTTTACAACGACAACAACAACTGAGAGAATATGTACCGCGCATTTTTCCCGCGAACGGCAGAAAGGGTCACGTGACCTGACTTTTACCGCGTTTGCTGTTTACCAGCCGCCGTTTCAACGCAAGGATGGTATTTCTCCCGTTTGGAGGAAACGCGAGAATTTTTGCAGCCCATTTCTACCGACTATTTCTTCATTTTGATCGCTTGCTTTTATTAGCTATACTTCGTTAATCATCCTTCTTCTATATGCACTGTTTGTAAAGCTAAAAGAGTTTCAAAATAAAGCGAAAAAAGATGACAGCTTCTCAGTTTATTTTGTCTAGTCATAGTGAATGGCGACCGAGAACACTTACCGTGTATCATACATATTTTACTTAGTTTTAAAAAAATTAAGAAACGTGGAAACGTGTAGTCAATACCTAGTTTATTTTCAAATATCTAAGACACGTCTTGTTCATATTTTTAACACCCTCGTTTTTAGCTTCCAGTTCTGCTGTGCTGACGGGGAACTTAAACAAACAAACACAGCGAACGGCACGGCAAACGACAAACGTCTAGCTGACGTTCAACGTTCGTCGTTAGCGCGGTGTTTAATCTAACTAATAAGCTAAAGGAAATCTAAACAGCACCAACACAAACCTCAATCCATGACATGTTGTGCTGCTGCATTTCTTCCATCTTTTGCTTCACCTGGGCATACAGCTAAAGAGATCAAGCATGCAAAAGCTCTAAACACTGGCGTACGTCAAGCATAAATCTATTCTCAGCTACAGCGTATACGAGTACTGAGTTCTCTGGCGCAGAATGAAAGATTATATATCTAAGATATTCTAAAAGACTAAATAAACTTAAAACCTGTTTTCGTTGGTTGCTCCGAGGGTTATTCAACAATTTTAAAACACCCAAAGCGAAAGAGCGGACAAAAAGATTAGATACAGTATCAGTCAAAATTGTTGGGACACTTTTCGTCGTTCCACTCTCTCAATGTTGGTGTACAAGATTCGGTCAGTTAACCAACTGCCTTGCTTACGTGGAAGGTGGGCACTTGGGATGCCCAGGGGTTTCCACTGCGGCCAGCCAGCCCCCAGATAGAATACTGCTCTCAAGGCTGGCAAATTCCCGCAATCCAACCATGAGCCTCCATTCCATTCCAAGCTGACGCTTGTTTGAGCCTTGGTGACGTTTGATACCTCACAACACGCGCTGTAACCGAAGGCAACCAACTAGAGGAGAATGCAGACCCTCCTCGATGTGAGGGGCCTGGATTGCTGAAAGATAAACCTTTATCGATGAATGGTGGAGAGTATCGGCAAAATGACTGCAGAAACGTATAAGCGCATCTTCACTGGCTGGAAAAGCTGATCCAGAAGGAGATGAGCTATTGTCCTGAGCAAAGAAATCCAAGAAGCAGCGTTTGGGCAGAGGCATAAACTTTCCTAATAGTAGGGGCAAAATCCTGAGTCAAGTAGAAGTGGAATTAATCTGACAAAAAAGATCCAAATCCGAGAGGAGCTGCTGCGGAATCTGGGTCGGAATGGAGTCTGCATGAGAGGCTAGCCGGCGGAAACGCTGAAACTGAAAGCGAGACAGAGAGTCGGCGATTGGGTTAGACTTCCCTCTAACGGGGAGGAAGTGAAAGAAAAGGAATCAGGAGCTACCAACAGGGACAGATAGCGAACCAGGGACATAATGGTAGGGGCTCTAGAAGTGCCAGAGCGCAGTATTTCCACCAATGAGCGACTATCTGATGGAAAGTTAACCCGTTTGGATGCCCATAAGGGACCCCAAAGGTAGCTGCCACGATGATAGGGACTCGATTGACTGAGAGACTGTGTTGGAAGCCACGCGCCTGAGAACCAGTCACACAGCAAAATTGTTCCATAACCAAGAGCCCCAGAGACGTCTGAAGAAACCTCGAAGTCGGATAGTGGAGCCCACTGAGGGTACTGAAGGAAGCTGCAACCATTCCATGGCTGTTAAGACTCTTGGCACCAGGCCAGGTCAGGAAAGAACTCTTGATTGAGACGAATCGGGTGGTCATTGCGACGAAAAGCGCATGACAGGTTGATGATTCGGCGCAAGAAAAAGTGGCCTTAGAGTACGACCTTGCAAGTATGCTGAACTGAAGGTGACCTATTACAGACTCCAGTTCCTAGCGTTTACACCAACGCTTCTGCGACCACACCTCACAACAAGGCAATTATCCTACCAAATTTGTCCTTATGAAGGCGCGCCTGCAGACTAAGCGAGTCTAGTTCAATGCCCAGGGGATGGTTAGGCACGTAGACGGCCCTTCCAGTTTTTTGGATGGAGGGGGATGCCGAGCTCAGAGAAGCAATCAATAGACCTGTCCACATTGTGTTGACAGGCAGAGGAGCCGGGAGGGCCAAGAGTGTGGGAGTCATAATTTCCCTTTGCAATCCACTCCACTACGTATGCTGTACAGAGAATATGGAGCTTACCTGACGCCCAAAGCCAGGACCATATCGACATAAAAAGCACCACGCCATTTCATACCTAATACCTAATAACCTCTGTGGACTGACACAATACGGTATGCATTTTGCACATCAAATTTCGCCTTAAGGGAACTCCGCTCCATCCGCATTATGGCCGCAATAATATCATCTGCTTTCATGTACTGTAGAGAATAATGCTCGCCAGCAATCCCGTCGTTGACACTGTGGGCAGCAGGACTTGACAGGTCCAGGATGAGGAGCCACTTACCAGGTTGGTGGCGTTTGGGGATGACGCCGAAATAACTCACATGGAGGTCAGACAGGGGAGGCTGAGAGAAGGGGCCCGCCACCCTGTCTATCTGAGTTTCTGATTGCAAGTAAATGTCGATGACCTGAGGGTTTAGAAGTGCCGAGGCCATATTCCCCAGAGCCGGCTTCAAGGAAGTACTGTAATTGAAGCCTAGGTGAAAACCATCATTACGGCCTTGGACCAGGTATGCAACTTTGTCTGGGTTAGTATGATGGCGGAGTTCATGCTGTACTTTATCCACGTTAATGGTAGTAAGCTGAAAAACCGGTCTTAACGGACAAACGGCCGGAGAACGCACAAATAATGAAAGCTTGGCAGACTCTACTACTGAGAAGGTAAAAGCAAAGGAGAACGCAACTCTAACCTGAAGAACTACCACAAGAACCAACGAGAACAGAATCAAAACTATGTACAACTGAATGGGCTAACAGAGGAGGCCTAGCGATGGCGGTGCACCCCCTTTGACTGAGATAGGGAGCGGGACCATGCTCTGCGTGCTGAGCGCAGATGAGAGAGCCGAGAGCTTTGATATACCAACCCCTACCTCTTTTGTGCCTCCAACTGCATAGTTAAGTTTAAAGTGACACAATGACGACTGTCCTAAGCAAGTACAGAGGAAATACAGTGACTAACAATTAGTCTGACACGAGTGAACCGTCTGGCTGCTTTATATTCCAGACTTTCCATTGCCCATCAGGGGCTGTAACAGTGTATCCCTGACATGTGCTTGACTTCTAGCCTGCAAATACAGTTGTCTCTCCTCGCTCCTCGCCGCTATTGATCAGTATAGAAATTCCGGCGCTAAAGCGCAGACGTCTCTTCTGCGAAACGTTCCTAGCGACGAGGAGTGAGAAGAGATGGCTGTATTCGCAGGCTACTTGACTTTTTCCTTCCTGACTCGCTGTATAACAAAACTTTGTTTTTTCAAATAATCACTAGGGTACAACATCTCACCTTGTATTCAAACTTGGCACTCTGAGCATGGTTCATGTACCTGTTACAGTAAAACAAGTAACGCTCCAAGGCTTGCCGTGATTTCTACAAAACGTATTTTTCAAATTCAATCTATTAGTGTTAGAATTTCTTTGAGTAAAAAAAATTATAGGTCACATCCCTTGCCAACTAAATGATAAATTTCCACTTTATCCATGCTTTGTCCAATATTTTATTCTCTAAGCCTTTAGGTACGTACATTTGCTATTATAACAGGTCTTGTGGGGCAGAACAATCTGGTAACCTCTTGCAAGATACTCGCAGATGGCAGCTCAATAATCAAATATGAAGGTCCAAGTATTTTCAGTACCGAAAAAGAAGTATTCTTACTTACAAACCGTGTTGGTTCAAATACAAATGTAGGTAATAATGTGCTTGGACGGCTAAATCAAGAGCGGTTTCGGAGCAAAAAAAACGACAAAAATTAATTTGAACCCCTCTGCAGCAGAGCATGAATACTTACAGCTTGAGCATCCCGGGCAGCCTGGGCATCTTTCTCGTCATAACGATTACAACTGTACCTGAATATAATGACACACATACAGACACACACTCAAAGAAGATCTCAGCTTTCAACTGTACACTATTTTTTATGTAACAACAATAGGTAGTCAAGAAGAAAATAGAGACCTGTAGATTATAAGCCGTACGAGAACGAGACTTTCTCAGTACGATAGAGCGCACGTGAACCCACGTTACTGCGCATTTTTCACGTCGTAGCCGTGCAAAAACGACAAAAAAATATACAAAAACGTTTGATTCCCGTGCAAAGTTGTTGTTTTGCTTACTCTTGCGTTGCCGTCGCGCCGTCGGATTTTGAAGTCCCGATTTTGGCGAGAAAACTCGATGGCCGTCGTTGGCTATGGGTTTTTCGCGAGAATTTACGTAGTGACGGAAATAAGTTACCAAAAGTTTATCATTTTGCGATCGATCATTCCTTCTTTTAATGTTTTGAGCCATTATTCAATCAATTTGGTGGCAGTTCCCAATGTTTTCGTGACACAGCTCGTTCAAGTGCATTTCTAGACATAAGTGTTTTGAAAACCACAAACAACTTGTTGGAAGAAGCGTGTATAGCCGATGGGAACGTTAGCACAAGCAAAGTTTTCGCAGAGGAGCTGCAAAGCTGTTTGGAGAATGGAGAGGAGATGTTTTGTAATTTTCTTGAGCCGTCCCGCGGGGCTTGCTTGCTGCCAAAACTCTCACATGCGCAAAAACAATTAGGCCAGCTATGCAGGCTATGTTGGAAGGTGACAGCAAAACCGACAGAAAAGAGAGGAATTCTTACCAGCTTGATCCATGAGGTTCCCAGGGTCCCAGACACATCCAACAAAAGTCAGCCTATGGAACAGAATAAATTGCAAATAGTTCTCTACCGCACAGGTTGTCTAAACGTCAGTCACTGTCAACAACAACAGTCCTATTCAGCACTACGTTCACCCGGACGATCAAACTCAACCTTTTGAAATGACTCCTGGGTTCAAACCTTTCACAGTTCTTGTGTGTTGTTCATCACAAATATCTAACAAAATTCAGTTGCAGACTGGTCAATCACTTATAGGGTCCACGAGTAATACAAACAATATCTCTAACAGCAGTAACTTCTGGGTCTTATTAGGTCTCATTAATGAGAAAAACAACCTTAAAAAACCAACAGTACATGACTTTAGGTAGCCTGCGAGCAAGCTCTCCGGGGCGCTCTGGCGGCGGGGAGGGCAGGCCCCTGACAGCTTGCCCAAAGGCTAGACTTTATGTTCTTTTTTTGGGGTGTTTCTCGCATCCGGGGTAAGAGGTAGTCTATCTGTCCATGTATATCCTGATACCGGTATAGGTATTTCACTTGTTCCAGTACATGGAAAAGGTATCATAATTTCTCATTTGTCTGCCAGGAATCGGTTCAAGACAAGTCAACAGACCAAGGGGTGCTTACCATTTACACAAATCACCCGGGTGGAAATCTTGTGCATAAAAATAAAACTATAAAATTTGACGTGGTGGGAGAACGACCCACTACAATGTAGCCTGTTCCAGGCGTTCGGATAGTAGAGCGCGGGAGAAAAATTCACAAAGAAAAAAAAACGAGATGTTATGAATTATTTTGCATCTGTGGATTTTTATGCATCAAGGACGCAGGACATAGAGGTAACAAAATCACTGCAGGACATAACTTACGGTTGTTTGTTCAGAAGATACCATCTCAATGGAACGTCAACAATAATGCTGTTTGGTACACTAATGTCGGTGGTAAAAAAAGATAACAGTGTACTGTGAAGCCTGTAAGGATGTTATTGTCCTTTTGTTATTCGAAAATGTCCCTGACATTATAATACAAGAAAAATATGTATTCATTTGGTTATTATCAACAGTGCCCGATAAAGGATAGAACTGCAGTTTTAAAAAAGAAACAGACCTTTGTGTTTGCTGATATCCAGTTTGATGTTTCACTGTCATCATTACACTTCTTTATCCACTTCTTGAGCCACTAAAGATATAAATAAAAAGGAGTTAAAAAATTTGAGACAGTCTCAATCTCAAATATACAAGGACAAAAAAAAATCAGATAAGATATAATGCTTGGACAGTAAATGGTTTGAGCTCCCAGGAGCCACTTCATGCATGTAAGTAGGTGGAATATTATCGTCTGGCTGAAGGTAGTCCTAAATAGGACTGTTGTTGATAGTAGCTGGTGTTTCGACAACCTGTGCGATACTATCTTCAGAGTCAAGGTGAGTTGTATCACATCAATTTATGGTATTAAAATCTGGTCATTGATCTCATTGGTCAATTAAGTGGCACTGCAAACTCTCATCTGAATGTAGTGCTGACTTACATGGCATCTAACAGGCTCATGAACTGGTTCTCCACAGCCAAAACTACAATAGAAGACAGCACATAAAGATACATTATTTTCATTTCCTGTAAAGGCAAACTTGATAAGATAATCATGTGGTTTGAAAAATCAGGCTAAGGAAAGGAAATTAGTTTACACAAAATAATCTACTTTACATAATTGATTATACAGGATTTTAATGCTTGGAAAATCGGGATTCCAATCCAATTGGACAAAGTAAACAATGACGAAGAGACTCACCAAAATGTATAGCCGCAGAGGCATGTCACTGGTAAAGCATCGTGGTAGTTACGGAACTGACGTAAAACTGTCAGACCAGGTCCCGTGGTTGAGTAGTTAGCCAATGAGATATCTTCCATTCTTTGTTTCCATTATTACATGTACTTAAGATTTTAACAAGTTCAGTTCCGGAGGAATATTTTTAGGGAGCTTAAGCAAAGACGATTTTGGCAACTCACATCTACCGGATGTACTGTAAGGCCTTTTCCCATTTAATATCCCTTGACACCAAGTTTGTATTGGTAAGTGTCTTCACTCTTATAGCTATGATCTGCCTGAAAATTTGGACAGAATCTCTGACCAAGAATGCAAAAAGTCCATCTCAGGTTTTTCAAATTTTAAAAGCCACAATCTGTTTCAATCTTCTTCAAGTTTGTCCATCCGTGCCTCATTTTGTATTTTCTATGTTATTTATACCTTCATTAAACATTCTGAGCAGTTATTTTTTATGTTTCAGTTACTTTTTATGTTTCACTTAATTTTGTGGTAAATTCAATAAATTTTATGACACAGCTCCTTCAAGCTCCCTATCAACCCTTTACTTCTTTTACCTAAACCTACCTCAACAAAGCTGTGAGCTATCAGATGGTGGTATCGAGCTTTCACTTTGCTATCTTTTACAACTTTCCTGTCAGAGAAAGGAGTACCAATTCTCAACATGAAAAAAATGACAATCCATTGACAGTACAACACAATACGGTTAACTTGCCAAGATTTGAAGCTAGAGAATATGATTTACAGAAAATAAATACACTTCAGTATACTCATTAACACTCATTATGCATTTTGTCCAATTGACTATTATGAATTTTATGACATGTAAGAACCTTTATACCTCGTTAAAACTAGCAACCTGAAAAGTCTGAAGTCAGTTACTGCTGTTCATGTTTTAAACATTATGTTAAAGATGATTATTATTAAGGAAGGAACAGCTTTAACTGAAGCAACAAGGGTTAATTTGTGTTAGAAACCCACCCTACAAAAACTTCATCTACAAGGATGTCACACTTGTGAGCAGGACAAGAAATATTCTGCAAAAGAGAAAAATGTCACAGTAATTATTAAATCAAAAAGATAACTGAGGTAGAAGATAACTTTATACTAAGTAATCTCCTACCCAAGCCATCTGATATGATGTTATGGTTTGATTTCGCACAATTGACCTCAAATTGCATCCAATCGCACAATTGAAGGAAAATTGCACATTCAAGTTAAGTAATCAAACATTTTCCCAATCTTAATGTTATTTAAGATGATTTACCAGTAAGGAAAGCCTTGCAAGACATCTGAAAGCTTTGATCGCGGTATCCAGGCACCATTTTGATTTCAGAGACAAGCAGTGTGGTCAGTAGTGTAATGGTGACATGTAATATTAAACAAGTCTCCTTTTTCTTTCTTTCTATTTGTTTTCTTTTCCATGTCAAGATAATTGGACAAATTTAACTATTTTTGTTTTAAAATAGATGTTTTATTATTCTTTTACATTCAAATTGCCTGTTAAACAACATTAAAGTGATTTTTCTAATTTGAAACCTGGTTAAACCAATGTTAATAATTTATTACACGTACATGTAGCCCCCCCCAAAACACATAGTTTATCGCATAATAAACCTATCTTATCGCACAATCTACCTTGAAAATATTGCACAATTTCTGATATTTTAACGTACAATATCTTATGGGCTGCCTACCACAGTTATCCAAATTATTAGTTGAAAATGACTATGAAAATGTCTTAATTTCTAAGTCAGAAACATTTGGTTCCTTAACTCAATAGTTTTCTTTTGTCTGAGGTAATCGGAAAAGAAAACATTACATTTACACCCCACCTCTCCCACATGCTCATCCATAACTTTAGTAGTAATGTACTCCTTCCAACATCTACTGCAAAACCTATGACTGCATTCTAAACCAGTAAAAGCCTGTGTAGGAACAAAAGGAGTATCCTGCAGTGAGTTACATGTAACAAGAATGTAAAGGTCTTTCAAAAATGCATGTAGTTTGTATCACTTTGTTCTGGCAGTGTTTTTCAAGCGCAGTAACAATCGTAAGACACATTCTATACTAGCCCACGAACAGGCCCCCATATGGAGCAGGGTGAAAAAGAAAATAAGCGAGCCAAACGAGTTGACCACAGGCTATGGGAGAAAAAAAGATGGGAGAGCCTGTAGACATTGTTTTCATGCCACCCATCCAGGATACCAGATTCTGCTACATGATCTGATTGGTGAGATCGATGACAGTTGACACGTGAGTGATGATTATTGAATGAATATCTTCCTCATTCCATGAAAAATACCTACGCGCACACGAATGTTATTGAAGCTAATCCATTGAGCCACCAAAAAAAAAAACATTACAATTTAACTGGTCTAATTACTTTACTGACATGTTATTGACCTATGTGTTACAGGACAAATCCAAGTGGGTGGATACATGGGATCAAAACAAAGCCTTCAGGCTCCCGCACCGTTTTTTCTCCCCCAGGTCATGCTTGGCTCAAGTCACGTGCCAATTTTTTTTGCACCACTCCACTTAGGAGCCTGTTTGCAGACTACATTGATACCATCTATACCATATTGCAGTTTGCTTGCTCTGCTTGGTATTGGTATTGATCTCACTTACTGATGCCTGTGTGATATTCAAGCAGATTTCACAGTTTGCCTCTGTTGATGCTGATGACGACCTTGTGTTAACCTGCATTACAAAGATTACTAACGTTCAGCAACGTAGGCAATATCAGAGATTCAAAAAAATGAACTCCTTTAATATTATTAAAGAATTGGGACAAAAAGGTAAGAATTCATTCTGCACAGAAGATTATTACGGTAATATTCACAATTTTGCTCAGAAATCAAGAAAGGTCATTAAATCATGAACCAGCTTTTGTCACTTACCCTTTTAGTTGAAACTGGTCTAGCATTTGTTCTATGTGGACTAATTATATGAGCTTCAGTAAAGAGTCTGTCTTGATCTCCACTGTAATACCTATGATGAATAAAATATTAACCCCTCAGCGCTTATTTCAGGGGTGCTTTGGGTTTGAACTGAAACTGCTTGTGAGTAGCTGAAAAACCTTGTGAAATGTACATAAACAATATGAACTAAGTTTGTTCTAAATTGCGACTTGCTGTCACAAGTCATTTTAGTGAGTGTATTTGACTGGAAGTCAATTCATTTGCTTTTCTGTGGATGTGTTGTGATAAATTGACTGAAGTCATAAACTTTGGTTTTGTTTTTAAAAAGACAATTGAAACAGAATTAAGCCTCAGGTGACCTCTGATAAACTGCTGGCTTCTCCATCCAAATCATTGTCTGTATATTATGTTTGTGAATGAAAGAAAAATATATATTAATTTTGACATTAGATCAGATGTCACTTGGGGCCTAATCCCATGCACTCCATTACACAATAACTGGATGATGTTTGACAAAGTTTACTTCAAAATGACGAGACACCTTCTCACCCTCCAGTGATAGAAAACAAAAGGGCACAGATGACAGGGAAAAACGTTATCATATGATAACATTACAAAACAACTTATTATTAAATTTAATAAATGGTAGTTGGTTCTTACTTAAAATGGCTCACCTTTCTAGTAGTTTTTCTTTATCCCATTTAAAGTGACTTAAAAGAATCCTTGTAGTTGGTCTTGGTAACTGTGGCAAAGGAAAACAAAAAAAAACTAAGGTTAAAACAAAATTCACTCTTACATGTACAATACAAAAGAAATGGTATATCTGTGCCCATGGACACATGGAGGAGTCACCCTGGAGAAGTTTGTTCAACTTGCAATGTAAAAGGTAAAGATCAGTGTTAAAGCTACAGACATGACACTGTAGATGGCACTGCAATAGACTGGCATCATATTCAACAGATATACATAATTATTCCTAACTTATTCAGACTACAAAAACTGGGTTGAATACCAAGCATGCAAATTTCATGGGACAGTCAATAATGGCTGAGTTCCAGGGAATTCCCCTAGAAACTATGAGCTTGAGCACCAGCTACTTCTACAAGGAAAAGAGATAAAAAAGTTCCTGGTCCTGGTTGTTAAAACATTGGATAGTGCTATCTACCGGATAAATCACTATCCAGCAGCTAAGTATTGGGGAAACTAATTTTTTTATCCACTGGATAGAGAGTTATCCAGTGGACAGCACTATGCAGCCTTTGAACAACCGATACCTGACTGTTAAATCTCTTACTTAAAATTTGCATATACCCAACAACCTAAAATCCGAGTGGCAGCCCTGACACTACAGCTTGTGTATGAGTTTGGTACCTCATGTTTTTACACAATCTAAATTCTGCCAGAGGATGCTGATTTTATCCTGAGATTTAACTCTTCAAGGGAGACTGAGGACACAAAAGTTTTGTTTTAAACTCTCGCTCTTTCTCACCAGCAAGGCCCTTTCATGTAATGATCTTCCTTGGATTCTCAAAATACCAAAAACATTTATGTTTCATCAAACAACACAGAACGAATCAAAGTTTCTTTAAAATGACCTCTTTATATAATGTAAGTGATGCCCTGTATATGCACATTATAATACAATATTCAGGGCTCGAAATTGCGACTGATACGGTCGCCAATGCGACTAACATTTTCTCCTTGCTTTAGTTTCATCATGAAAAATGTGCCAAATCGCATAAACAAAGCCAGTTTACCTCCAAATTTATACCGACTTCATGATATTTTCAAATCTGATGGATCGCGCCATACTATGCTGGGCTTCTGATAGGCAGCGGAAAAAAGTAAAATTTCGCGGGATTTTTAGGGGCAAATTCGCAGAAAAATCGGCCGATTTTGCGGCACTTTCACGGGAATGTTTGGGGCAAACTTAGCCGAAAATTAATCGGTAAAAAAGGCCGATATTGTAGGTATTTTTGAGGGAAAATTTTGTCAGATACGATCGGTTTTGGGCCAATCGGACCAGCTTTATTAACGTTTTTCTAACAGAGGTCATTTTGCTCTTTCAACAACAATACGTTTCAGAAATGAACCAATGGGTTTCGGGAATTGTAGTTCCGATCACGGGTCAAAAAGTGTTGTATTAGATGCAGACCATCAAAGCCCTGCAATAAACGTGCAAAGTCACAGTTCATAGTTCTATTTAAACGTTCAAATGCCGTTCATTTATACCCCAATAGCTGAGATAAGTTTCAAATATGTTGTACAGACATGTATTTGATAAGATTTCTACTGAATTTCGCTGTATTTCGCATGTTTTTGTGAATTTCACGGCTACCTATGAGCTGCGTCATTTACATTTTACAAACTGGCGACTAAAAATTTGCATCCGGCGACTATATTTCTCCGGTTGGTCGCCAAAAGGCGACCTGAAGATTTTTTTAATTTCAAGCCCTGATATTGTAAATGGCAAGGCTAAAACTTAAGAGAGGCCAGGTTAGGGTAAAATTCCCACAAGAGACAGGGCCTTGAAACAGTGACATAAGACTAGATGAAATGGTGAAAAACAACATAACGATGGGTTAAATACCGACAGGGACATGGCCTACTCCTCAAAATGTGAAATGCCGATATTTGAAATTCAGACTAGTGACATACGTAAACCCCCTAAGGGGGCCTCTTAAAAAGGGCAATTTCACAGAATTTTAATTCGCTGCATTTGTTGATGAGACTATCATTTTGCATAACAGTTAAACTGAAACTGCAAAAACACACAATAAAAAATCTAACTTCACAACTCTCTGGTGAGTGATTGTGTTAGGCTCGATTTCTGCCGATTTCCGGGCTCATTTTCTTGAACACCCCGGCTGGTAATCAAGCCTAGAAATGAGTCAGCTTCCTTAGTCCAGGAAGAAATTCTCCATGGCTTATGCTCCATATTAATTACCTCAGCATCAGAGGCATTAATGTTTTTGGAATAATAAGCTAAAAAAGCTCATAATAGTTCCTCTTTAGTATGGTTATCACCAGTAAATCAAAGAAAATCACAAAGACATTGACCGGAGCTACTCAACAGAAGCGTCTTAAATCTTTGTAATCAGCAAAAAATCTCCAAATGGTAGAATCAGCAAATTTCCAGATTAGCAATTTTTAGAACACAAAAGATGAAAAATTATAAGCTTTTTGAAAACCCCTAAAACCACCAGATAACTGCTTAATTAAATCCTTCATTTATTCTTGTAGTATAAAATTAAAGTATTGAAATCCTATAGTACTCAGCAGTTTGTCAAAACCACCGTTTCTTTTAGAATATCGCCAGCAAGATCTACCATGCAATGCACGGTGCATTGTTTTTGTTTGCATACATTGAGGAATACGTAAAACTCAAGCTTAAAAACTTACGTACTTCCGCGAGACCTCGGACACCTACCTGAAAAACATTATTTACTTCATCGATGATATCATTCATATAACTGACTAAAGCTTCAGGAGTTAGACATTCGTAATGAAAATCGTCATTTATGTGAGGTCTCTTCGGAGTTGAGGGTTCATCGCAATCGATGTCGAAGTCACTTTCATCGCCTTCTTCCGAGCCGGATTCGTTAAAGCTGTCCTCTTGCTCGTCGTCATACATAGCATCATCGTCCTCTGAATCCATTTTCGTATTTACAATATCCACTAGTCCACGAAACAGGCTTTGAAGTTGTGTATAACTGCCACAACTGACACAGAAACACTCACTTTCATTTATATGGAGGAAGCCATGTACACTTTTTTTAGGATTGAGGTCACATGATAACTTATTACTACAATTCAATTGGTGAAAAGACAATACTATTGTGACGTCATATCTGTGCAAATTTTTGGAACATTATATGTCAATTATTTCTTGTGGAGGACTGGGTAGAGCTTTAGCGCGTTCACTTATCAATCATGATTTTACTAAAGGTTTTAATAGCCCATAATTCGATGAAATTGAAAAGCATTGTTACCAGCACTCACACCGATATGCGGAATGCTAAAGTATAAAGAAAAAACTGGGAAAGGTAACGGCGCCATGCTACTTTTAAGTTCCGGTTTGTCGATCTTAAAACTCCAAAACCAGCAATGACGTAAGTAACAGTGCGGGTTCACACGTGCTCATAACGGAGACACGTTTTGTGAATGGTTCAGGTAACGTGAATACTGAGAAAACAGTCCCAGGGCACAACGTTAAAACATTTGGCAAAAGTCTTATTTTGTTTCACTGATTTGATGCGAATCACATGAGCGCTAAAAAATTCAGACCGGAAGACTGAAGGCAGGTCACGTACCCGTCGACACGAGTAGGCTCCTGCTCATTCAGGCTGAAAAGAGTAATTTTTTCTGTTCAGTCTAAAGCACTCGACCTAAACACAGATCGACCCAATTGAATGTGAAAACCTAAAGAAACCAGTCTACTGACTTGATCTGACATTTCTGAGTTCCAAAACTCCTGCTTCCATAACTGGGCCAAGTGCAAAACCATTCTTCTGAAAATGAGTTTTATTTGCATGAGAATAAAAAAATAATTTTCATATCAATGGACTTATACTTAGTCTGTGATCAAGACTCCGCCTGTCCACCCGTTCCTCCCCTAATCTAAAGTGAACACAAAATGTTGGATTATGGGCATGGGTTAGGTAGTCATGCAGTTTCCAAGCATGATCACCCCACCTCTTTGCGCAGCTATCTCTTCCTTAATTTTCAAAAAATCACTTTCAAACTTGGTAATTCTACTGATTCTTTTGTTTTTCTTTCCAGCCGTGTTCTTCAGATTTTTGCCAACTGGTCCCAGTCATAATTACCTTAGCTCCAGAGGCCTGCTTTCGAAATAGATGAATTAGCCTACGAGCAGGCTCATTTTGCGACTTTTATCCAAATCTTGCTGTTTTAACAAAGACCAATGAACTGCGAGACAAAACAGTAAAGAATGAGTATTCCCGAAATTTTGAACGGACAAGTCGTTCTTCGAGGGATTAACTGAAGAAACGGAAAGTCGTTACAGAGTATGATAGTTTAAAAAGTGGTACAGCGAGTAAATTTAAATTTGAAATTTAAATTCAAAATGAATAGGCCGATAGGAATAGACTAAAAGAAATAAAATGAAATAAGTTTATAATGACAAAAAAGTTAAAATAAGGAGAAAATATATCATGATCGCATGATATAAAAATATGTATAGCATAATCCACAAAAATAGATGTAACAAGTGTTAAAAAACAAAATAATAAAATAATAATAGAAATAATGATAATAAAAAGGAAGAAAGAAATAATAATAATAATAAACTCAAATTAAACGGTCGTCCTCTCTGTTTATGTTAAGCCCGGGGGGACTCCTCATATGAAAGGGTTGGGGATGATCCTCGTCGTCTCCTTTAGGGGTGTAAATTTCGGATTTTGGTCTCACTTAGGGTGTTCTGGGCAAAACGCCATCATATTTAGCCGTGAGGGTCTCGTTTAGGGTTGCACGAGAAAAATATGAAAATATATATTTGATATGTTTATTTTTAATTCGTTTTATTCACTCCATTCATTCAATCCAAGTTTTCTCATTTGTCTGTGTTTTAACATGGTCTCTTTTAGGGGTCAAAAAAAGCTTGGGCCACGCCCAAATCGGTCTCTTTCATGTTTCAGGGGTTTTTAAATTAAAATTAAGATTAAAAATTTCTGACGAGCATCCCCACCCTTTTCATATGCAGAGTCTCTCCCCCCGCCGCCCCTGCGGGATGCTAAGTGCCTGCATGGTTTTTGCTTTTTCTGTATAGAATTGTTCGCGAACTCTTCGTGAGGAGCCTATCACCTGTCTGCGTACAGATTCTCTGTCACTTTCCGAGTTCGGGGAGTCCGCCAGGCTAATGAGTTAACCGGATCAGGAATTAGGAAAACAAAAAGAACTTCTGGCACCTAGAATATAGGGTTAGACGAGGTTATATATTTCACCTATCCCACGATGCTCTGCCGCTATTTTCAAACAGCTGTATTCAACTTCCGGTCAGTTTTCCTCTTGGTCTTTTAATACCATATTTGGCTCTTTTCTGTGACGTCTAATATAATTGAGTGCATTGAGTGGAAGTCTGGGACTGGTAAATACACAACAAAACTTCTTTAGTGAAAAGAGAGTCGATGAAAAAGTTCACCTAGTTTGGAGTTAAATTTCAGGTTCTTTCCCGTTGAGAAGCCTTTATTGCTGCAGAACAGTTTTTAAGGTAAATGGCCACGCATCCAGTGTCATCGGCCGTGCGGGCGTTGCAGCTAGAACTAAGGAAACTCACCGAAGAACCAGTGGAAGGCTTTACCGTCAATGTGCCAGACGAGTCCAATCTTTTTGAATGGGACGTAGCGATTTTTGGCCCACCTGGTACTTTGTACGAAGGAGGTTACTTCAAAGTGAGTTGTGTTTTGTAACAGAGCAGAAATTCTACGTGATGAAGCTAAGCGTTACTAAGGGTAAATTTACATTTCGTTTTGTTTTAGGCGCACATGTCGTTTCCCTCTGGATACCCCTATTCGCCACCTACTTTTCGCTTCCTTACCAAAATGTGGCATCCTAACATATACGAGGTAAGAATTATGTAGATCTGGTATTAATTCCTTTAGAATTTTCTTCTGTAACGTCCTGGTGACTAATGACTGTTTGCTGATTCTTTAGTCCGGCGATGTCTGTATTTCAATTCTACATCCTCCTGTCGATGATCCACAAAGTGGCGAATTACCTTCCGAACGGTGGAACCCCACACAGAACGTTAGGTGCGTGCGTATATTTAACCTACAGTACTCACTCTTTCCTTTTATATCCTGTGTAAGATTTATCGTCATCTTGATTTCAAAGAATTGATCTTTTATACTGAAAGTTCTAAACAGTATCAAACAATATGATTGTCCGCCATTTTTTTTTTTATTATTCGAAACTCACATTGTCATTTTTTTTTTTGTCATTCGGCCCTAACCCCTAAGCCTTTATACTAACATTGTGGTCAGGGTTAGTGAGATAGTTCACGTCCAACCAAAAGAGTTAGTTTTTGCTTAGCTTTTAATCAGATCCCTTCGTTGGGTTAATTTTTTCTTCAGAGATAATTTGTCGGCATATTTTCGTGTCACACAGTCGAAACGTGGTTGTCCTTGCGTGCGTTGTCGTTCGCGAGTTGTCAAGTCGAACAAATTCGAGAAACTTACACTGTACTATACAACTGTGCTTTTAGCTCAAAGATCTATCCATGTTTTATTAGAAATCTTTGATATATCCTAAGTCTAACGGATCTATGATCGTATGTTATAGAAACTGAAGATAATGTAGGATCTATTTTTAGTCTTTTGGACAATTACCAGTTCTGGATTTTATTTAATTCTGTGGTTTACTGGTATTGTATTGTGAAGTTTGACAGAAGTTGACAATAACTGTTGTAGTCTCATAAACAATCACTGTTTCTTGTACGAATGATACTTGTTTCCTTTGCTTGATTTTAACTTAGGTATTTTCATACCTGCCAAATTACATCAATATAATTTCCCAAATTAGAAAAACCTTGGTGCTATGTCTGAAAAATAAAGGCAAAGGAAGAAGAAAAAAAGAAGAAGCTTAAAATGAATATCATTGTTTTAGCTATTTGCATTTAAACATACAGTGATATATTCATGTTTTCTCAGAGTCGTCATCCGGGCAAGTAAGCCTGTGGCATACTTGCCCGGTTACAATTTGGGTTGCCCAGACAGAAGTGCAGAATTATATAAAATGGTGAAAAAATAATGTGCAACTTTAACATTTTCTGATAAGCATGTTATTTCCTTCATAATATTACCAAGAAAGGGTTTTAGCTAAACTGTACAACAGGCTACAGGCCCAGGCTAAACACAGTTTATTTACGTTTTACAAGTACCGACTTATGATTTCATTGCAGACAAAAGCTGCTTGTTATTCTCCATTATTCTTAAAGATTTAAGTGGATGAGAAGTTATCAGAACTTAGGGAAAATTTATAAAATCATTTAAGAAGTATTGAAAAGAGTTTTTGGTTGAGCAAAACTTCACTTGTCCGAAGGGCGACTTTTGAAGTACGAGATTGTAGTCGTCTGGAATGACTGGAATACTGGGAATATGGATCCCTGTGATATCATATGTATAAGAACAAATTTCATTAACTAAATCTGTGAAAATTAGGTTTGAGATGTTAGACAAAAAATATCAACTTTGATAACCTTGAATCAAGTTCCTCTTTTTCATTCATACCCCAAAATTGCATATTTGAACAGTTTTTGTACATTGTTCAGTTTGAAGTTATGTATCACAAGGGTTTTGTGGAACCTTGTACCTTTTTGTTTCTCTGTTTGAGGCCCAGGTAATTAAGGGTTATTGGGATTTAGGATATCTGGGGAAAAAAGAAACTGGGAATGTAATGCTCATAGGGAAAAAACAGGATGTAGGTTATTAAGAAACATATTTTGTAGTTTTTGAGCGATAAAGTGGGTCCATGTTTAATGTGAAAGGTGAACTTGGTTTAAGTGAAAAATGGGATAAACCAAATTTAACTTATTGGTGATATTTAGTTCAGTCAAAAATACATGTATTGGTCCCTTAAACCTTTCTTTGAAGAACTTTCTGCCCCCTTGACGAGGGACTCCCTATAAAAGTGACAGGAAAT